AWTTTTTTWMMWTTTWRGSSKMCYWKWAAAATCAATTTTGTTGTAGTGTATTGTTTCATTCCAGTGARATMAGATGCTATAAAAATTAATAGTCSATGGATAGGTTCGATATGCGCTGCACATGCCACTTGTATTGCGAGGCCTTACRTGCACATTCCACGGAGGTACAAAGACGGGAATCGTTGGGAGAACCGGAAGTGGTAAATCTACTCTRATACAAACGCTTTTTCGTATYGTTGAACCTGCCAGCGGGGAGATTCTGATAGATGGGATTAATATATCATCAATCGGGCTCCATGATTTACGATCTAGATTAAGCATAATCCCTCAAGATCCAACTATGTTCAATGGAACTATACGAACTAACATGGACCCACTTGAAGAACATTCAGATGATCAGATTTGGGAGGTACTCTTGATTGATTAAACGACTTATATTGGCCTCACTACAACAAAATTGGTTTTATAGCACGCCTGAAATGTCTAAATGTCCTAATAAACTACTTTATAGAACTTAAGTTTATAAGACCAAATTATAGAGTGTCCTGTCTAAAATGGTCACAATAGGTTTATAGGATGCTTTTAGGCATTTTAACAAGTTATTTTGGACGCTTATAAAATAAAGTGTCATATTAGCCATTTTATAGGACACTTTTGATAAGTGTCCTATAAACCCATCTTTTTATACGACACTTGTGTTTATAGGATACTTTTAAATATTGTCRTATAATGTAATTAATACAATACTTTATTTTAAAAGGATTCTAAGAAACTTGTTAAAACGCCTAAACATGTCCTATGTATAAACCTATTGTAACACATTTAGATGGGACGTTTTTTGGTTTGGTTGTATAAACTGAAGTCCTATAGAGTATTTTATTAGGACGCTTAGACATTTTAGACGTCCTATAAAACCAATCTTGTTCTAGTGCCTGTAATATGATTTGTATGCTATTAGATACATGTAGTGCATCGAACATTTCAGGCTCTTGATAAATGCCAGATTGGAGACGAGGTTAGAAAGAAGGAAGGTCAACTCGATTCAACAGGTTCCTCATCATCCCCACCAATTTTAACAAAAAGTTATTTGCAAAAAGGTACAAAATTTTCAGAACCCGTGTTTCCAAAATTGCCACAGTTACCGAAAATGGAGAGAATTGGAGTACGGGTCAACAGCAACTGGTCTGTCTTGGCCGCGTACTACTCAAGAAAAGCAAGATACTGGTTCTTGATGAGGCCACTGCATCAGTTGATACAGCAACGGATAACATGATTCAGAAAACGCTTAGGGAACACTTCTCAGACTCTACTGTCATAACAATCGCGCATAGAATCACCTCTGTGGTCAACGGTGACATGGTTTTGGTTTTGAACAATGGTTTGTGTGAACTCAGTCTTGTCATATTGAGCCCTTGGGGTGCTCCTATTCTTTTATTTTCTGAAGAGTGTCCCAGGCTATGCCTAGACTAATCCTGGCAAACTCTGACCACAGATAAACTCAGTGGCCACAATTGTTGTCAAAGAACTGTGATTCTGACTTCTTTATCTAAACCCATAATTTGCAGGCTTGATCGAAGAATACGATTCTCCTACAAAATTGTTAGAAGAGAAGTCATCTTCATTTTCAAAGCTGGTTGGTGAGTACAACAGGAGGTCAAACTCAGAGATGAAGCTCGATCTGATATTGATCAAGAACCCATCTTGTCAAACTGTTATTTCACTGCAATCTTGTCTCATTTTTCTATAGAAAGTGGTCTAGCTGATCTTCTTTCATTAAAGTTGAGTTCTGTAAGTCTTGCATGTGGAACCCTTTATGATCTTTTTGTGGGTGTGCTCACAGAAGATCAAGAAATTGTAAGAGCTGTTAAAGATGATTTAAGGGCAGTAAAAGAAAGAGACCCAGCTTGTATTAGTTATGTACACTGTTTCTTGAACTTTAAAGGGTTTCTTGGTTGCCAAGCTTATAGAATAGCACACAAACTATGGTCGGAAAATCGGAAAAGTTTGGCAATTTTTATCCAAAATCGGGTTTCGGAGGTGTTTGGATTGGATATACATCCGGGGGCGAAGATTGGCAGCGGATTAATGCTTGATCATGCCACCGGAGTTGTTATTGGAGAGACTGCGGTGATTGGAAACAATGTTTCCATTCTGCATAATGTCACATTGGGTGGCACCGGAAAGAGTGGGGGCGACCGGCATCCGAAGATCGGAGATGGGGTTTTGATCGGTGCCGGGAGTTGCATTTTGGGGAATCTTAGGATCGGAGAAGGGGCGAAAATCGGAGCGGGATCGGTGGTGTTGAAGGATGTTCCTGCTAGAACTACTGCTGTTGGAAACCCTGCTAAGTTAATTGGAGGGAAAGAGAATCCAGTTAAAGTTGATAAGATTCCTAGTTTAACGATGGATCATGTTCAATATGTAAATGGGTGGTCTAATTATGTCATTTAGGGAGGAAAAAGGTTGTAAAGTTTACTTTTTTTCGTTCAGTATCGGATGATATTTGAACGAAACTAAACAAACCCAGTATATCTCATTCGTAGCGTCGAGTGCGTCTGGAATCCAAGTGAGAGTTAGCTCTCTCCTGGTGTCATGTAGCTAATAGTTGAACCAAGAATGTTGGTGTAGATTATGATGAATAAAGGTCTTTGTTCTGTTGGGATTTTAAAATGCTTAAAATTGACCTATAAACCTATTGTAACGCTTTTAAATAAGATGTTTTATAGTTTGGTCCTATAAACTTAAAATCTATAAAATATTTTATTAAGACGTTTAGACAATCTAGGCGTCTTATAAAGACAATTTTATTGTAGGCGGTGGTGTTCATCAAAATGTATAAATCATCTGCACCGCACCAAATTGCATGGTTACTATACATCCATCCGCTCCCTCGCTCCGTGGCTGTATTTCAACGTATGGAAACTACGGGTGTATTTAAATATGTCTTTGTATATTCGTACATATATAAACATTGCATGTTTACCGTCTAGCTTATTAATTAACAGTTGACTTATAGTTAATTTGCTAAACATCAGTTTATTTAAACCCAAAAAGAACTAGACTAAAAAACGGGGTCCAAATTGACCAATTCAAATTTGGTTTAGTTTTTCCTTTGGGTTAAAGGAATTCGAATGAATAAATGGAACTGCAAGAATCCAAAAACTGAACCAACGAACATCTTTAACTTTTGATTACATCATAAGAAATACAAGAATTAGATTTATGACTAGTTTGTCTAATTAACTTAATGAGACTCACAACTTATTCAGTCAATTATTTATAATTGTTTGATAGTGATTTAATGATATAGAAAGTGATTTATTTAGTAAGCTTATAGGAAAACTTTATTCTCGAAGCCAAGTTTTTAGTCAAACACGCCTCCCTCCTGATTAAAAATCGCGTTCCTTCTATTCATTAAAAAACTCTTTCAAACAAAAACTTTCTAATCTATACAGACAACTTTATCCATACAAGACTTAATAAAAAACCAACTAACAATCAATTAAATTAATTATTATGACTTTTATTAGGCATGGCAATGAGGCGGGGATGGAGAGAGTTTTCTAATCCCCCGCCTCGACCTTGGTTTCTATGAACGGTCCCGGCCCCGGTCCCCGACGGGTACATGGATTAATATCCAGTCCCTCACTGGTTTACTTTCTGGTCAAACCCCGATCTTCGTACCCGGTCAAGACCTAATTTTAGAAAATAAATAATATATATATATATATATATATATATATATATGCATACATATATTATATAAAATATATTAATAAAAATCAAATACCGAGTAAGGGCGGGTCAGGGGATACACTATCAGCCTCAACCCCAGTTTGAGTCTACTAGGGGTCGCCGGTCCAAGACCCGTTTTAGCAACAAAAAAAAATCCCCGTCTCCATAACTAGGCTCCTCATCGGGTCGAGTTAAATCTCCATCCCTAACTTTTATTATAATAATCATATATTTCATGGTGAAACATGCTATAATGTTTATGAAGTATAGAAAATGTCAAATATGCGTAAGCAGCAAGAATTAATGGGACCTGCCAAATCGACACCTCTTTTTGGAAAGTGGTCCATTACAACCCATTTTTCAACCAACACCCACATCATATCTTTAAAATTTAAACAATATTCAAATGTTTATAATATGATTTTTTTTATATTAACCTAGATATTCAAATGAGCCAATTAAATTTAAGTCACCTACATTGCTTATAATATGATTTATGTAAACAAAAAAAATAGATTTTTAATTACAATTATATTTAATAAATCAATTATTAAAAAAATTAACAAAAAAAAAATGTTGATGAATCGATCTAATTGACATCTTTAAATTTAAATGCCTTCAACAATAATCATCAAATTAGTGGATACAAGCACTTCTTTACTAAGTGTTTATCTTGTCGACACGAGTATCACATTCACTTATTTTGTCGAGGAACGTTTTCGGATATCGGAATGAATTGTTTGTAAGGATCTCTAATTCAGTAGTGGAAAGCGCTAATCGGGTAAGAGTCTTTCTCCCTCACATATTGGGTAAGAATATTGTTTGTTGCCATGCCTTTTACTACATAAGGTAAGTGACCCGATAAACACGGTAAAAATTTGGTAAACGGACATCGAGCGAGGTTCACGAGAAACACCCTTATAAACGTTTATCTGGACACTATGTACATATGCATACAAGTAATTGCAGTTGTTTCTTAGTTTTAATATACATGTAGATACTGAACAAAAATGCTTACTATTATTGTCTACATCTCCAAATTCTTGGCCACCACGCTATTTTTTCAAGAAACTTGATCCCGCCCCCGCCCCCGCCCCCGCCCCCCTTCTCTTCTTCCTGGAAAAAAATGACTATAAAAAGATCACCCATAAACCCATTAAACCCATCACCACTCCTGCTTCACGAGACACTTTTCGATGAGTGAGTGATCAAAGCCAAGAAAATATTGCACAACCCATTTGCTATATATACAAACAATGGAGAATCCTAATATTTCCATTTTTGGTAAGTTTTACAATCCTATGATCATGA